ATTATCATAAAGACATCACTTAAGCACTGAAGCAGAGTTCTGGTGGAGGCGAACAGCAGGAGTCGCCCTTGTGTGCGGGTGCGAGAGCATGGCTCTCCTCTCGGTATGGAGTGAGAACACTCTCTCGGCGGGGCTCTGATCTGCTCCTTCACTCCTGAGTGCTAACACGGGGCTGATTAACCACATGATTCTGGCTCTCATCGATTTCAAGGCAGCCCCGTCTGAAAGGCCCTCTCTGACATTTCCACTTGGACATGATTTACTCCCAGCATCCCCCCACAGCTGGCGGCTCTCGCATTCACAGCCAGCAAAGAAACGCGAGGATATTTATGATAATAGAGCACCTTTAGGAGTATTTTGGGAAAACTTTGGCTGACGTGTGACCTTGTGCCGTCCTTTTTTTGAAGGACTCGAGAGCACTTAAATGACTGTGTTTTATGATCAAAGACGTTTTGATCCGTTGGGTGCTTGTCGTAGAATGTACACATGGCATTCGGCGAGAAATAAAGTCGATATTTTTGCACTCTGGGTCTGCGAAAGGTTAATTGTTATTGAAATTTCAAGACCCAATAGCTTGCTTCAGCAGCTTTCTTTCTGTTTTCTGGATTTTGAAAGCGTTTTACTACAAAGGGCAATGCGAAACAAAAGCAATCCAATGCAAGGCTACGCTTAATTACACGAGAATTGACGTCAACAGACCTGCTCATTTCCTGACATCTCGAACAACCTCTGCGTGGGAAGTTGCCCTTACAATAATAATAGCTCATGGGCTTAAAGCTGTTTGCCGCCACATAATGTTTTAAGACACTTAGCGGCCAATGTTTCCTCAATTTACAGGAGAAAGAAATTCAACTTTATTCAATTTCAGTCCAGTTTGCAGTGCGATCGGATAAACACGTTTTTGAACAGCACAGCCACCAGTGCAATGCGATTCACAAACAGGTGACTCTTATGAAGTGAATCTTTTAAATAAAACACTCAGAAGAAACAATGATTCAAAGAGAATCCTTAGCTTAATAAATGATTAAATCTGTCAAGTGTTACAGAATGATCTGATTTGCTGATTCATTGAACTGCCAGTCAATTCATGCACAAAATGGTTTGTGTACTTACCAGAGTTGAGTTTGCAGTGTGATTTAGATAAACATGTCTTTCTACAGCACAAGCCAGCAGGCACAGGCCGTCAATATAACGTCAGTTGTACGTCGGACAGACGTTGCATTTTGGTTGAGAGTGAAAATCAGGTTGACGTCAGTATTTGACGCCAATTTGACATTGACTTAACGTTGGATTTTGGTTACACAACCTAAAAACAACGAATATCAACGTCAGCTGAGGTAGGTATTGGACATCAAATTAACATTGACATTGAATTTTGGTCACCCGACGTCGCAACCGAAATTTAACCAAATATCAACGTCTTATGACATTGTGTGCCTGCTGGGAACCACCAGTGTAATGTGATCTATAATTCGCTCAAAAATATTCACAAACCCTGTTTGAACCATTTAAACTCTTAGCTGAATTGTTTAAAAAAAAAATCCTTAAAACATTTAAAATCCTTAGCGGAATGAATCACTATCTGTCAGAGCAGTGATGAATCATCCTATTCTCTGATTCACTGAACCGCAAATCATTTCTTGCTTTACTTGAAATGAAGCAAGAAATGTTTTGTGTACTTAACCGAGTTGATTTTGACTCTTTTGAACTGATTCATTTAATGAATCACTCCAAAAGAACGCTCAGTTTGAATTTACTGCTAATCAGTCGAATTTGCATTGTAATTCAGATAAACGTCTTTCTAAAGCACAGTTACCAGTGTGATATGATTCACACACAAGTGACTCGTATGAACTGATTCTATTGATGAATTACTCAAAACTGTTTGAATCATTTAAACAGAATCCTTAGCTGAATCCTCTAAATCACTGAACCACAAGTCATTTCTTTCAGCCAAAGATTCTCGTCATTATCCAGATTTCACTGCAAAAGAATGGAGATTGCTCTCGAATCTAGTGATTGGATGAAACTCCACTTAATCATTCATAAGATGGCTCAAACTCTCTAGAAACTGTCTGAGAAGTCACTTAAAGCAATGACCAACAAGAGGAACGTCATTTTCTTAAAGGCGCGGCACTTTTATAATCATGTAAATCACTTTGCTAAACCATCATTGTAGACTACTGCATATAAATTGATGAATGAATACATAATAACCTACAATTTTATGCAACGGATATTTGCATCAATTGGAAGAACCACATTTGAAGCTGTTTAAAATGACCTATTTTTCTAATGAAGTAAACTTCATATTTCTGTTGCCACTTTTTTACGCTTGCTGCCATGCCCAACAGCATCCTACAATAAAATCAAAGCTTTTTGCTTTATTGGGTACCTGTAATAGGGCTAAAATAGACTACTTTCCCTTGTAAGACACGCATGGATGGACACGAGATGAGCAGATATCTTTTAGCCCAATAAATGAAGTGGCCATCTCAAAAGTTATGACTAAAATAGAGATAAAAGCCAGCTGGGTTTAGATGCAGTCGTTTAGATTAATTCATTATTATATCCCAGTTGATGTGGTTACTTCTTCTGCTCCTTATGTCCCAAACATTACTAATGGAACTGAAAGATGACTGCATGCCAGAAAAAAAAAAAAAAAAAATGTAATGCACTTCAGAATTGTGGGTTTTGTGTTTTTTCTTAGAATTTAAATCTTTTTC